ATTCCCTATAAATGACATTTATAGTCTCTAGTCCCTTTGAAAATAATTATTTTCTGATAAATGATTCTCCATTAACGCAGCTAATTTGTCCATGCTACATTTGCATTATTGGTACATTATACTTGAAACAAACAAGACCTGTTATGTGTGGCCGGTGGAATTTTATTATTTACACAATGCACTCTTAATTATTACCTTTTTCATGATTTTTAAAAATAAAGTTCCAATATATTTTACAATGTAGGATGTTTGTTATGAGCAAACTGTAGATACCAATAAGTTTACTGAGCACAGTGCTGCACATCTAAAAGAAATGTATACGATCAAACTATAGTAAAACTGAGTTAGTAGATTGAGATATGTTAAACAATTATATGTATACTCTTTGGTTCTTTTGGAAAAGTCACGTAGCTATAAAATAAATTATTTGGATTCCTGCAGTCACGAAAGCTTCAAATCAATTATATGTGTAGTAATCAATATATGGATTTTTTACTTAAACATAGTACTGTACTGCATCAATATTTTGCAGAAGAACGTTTGTGCTCTGTTTAACATCGCCTCCCAGTGGTCATTGAGAAGCATCACAATTGCCAGTGCAATTGCAGGAGTGAAGACGACATTTAGAATAATTGATTTTGTAAATTTTAGCATGTGTGTTGAACGTGGGTTTCCTCCGGGTTCTCAGTTTCCTCTCATACCTAAAAAAAATATTTCTCCTTCCTTGTGCCCTTAAGCAGACCCCCTCCTTGGCCTGCTTTTGTCAGGGGCGGAGCCAGGATTTTGACTTTGGGGGGGGCTGACTTCAATATTCTGAGATATCCAGTGGATGTTTTCCAATGGGCGCCACAAATATATATCAAACAAACTTTATTGGATTTGAACGCGGAGTTTATTAATAGGTCGGAGCCGCTGATGTGGCTAATAAGTTCGATAAGTTCGAAAGGCTGCCGCTCAAGCAGCCTGCAGGGCAGCACACAAGGTGGCAGCCTGCAGCATTTTGCAGCAGCCTGATATCAGGTTATCCCGATTACCGACTTTCCCAACATTTCAGGGGGGGCTGAGCCCCCCCCCCCCCCCCGTGTCCCCGCCCCTGGCTATTGTTTCTCTCTCCAAGCTTCACCTCTTCTCCGTTTCCCATTCCCTTCCTCGTCCCTCCACTCCATCCCGTCCCTCCCCTATAGCCCTTTCGTGACCCCTACGTGCCCTCTGTCATGGTCACTCATTCCTCGCCCCTTACTCGCCTCCTTGCCGCCATCGAAATCACTAATGTTACCTCCTTTAAACTTCGTAAAATGCCTTGAATTTAAGGTGCTATATGAATATAAAATAACATAAAAAAAATGTCCAAACATCCTACTGCCCAAAAAAGTACCTGCAGATTTCTGGATTGGGATTACTCATAGCAACAAATATCCCCCCCCCCTTCCTGTGAAATCGTTGCATGATCCTCTTGATAGTGTTTTAAACGAGTGTAATAGTCGGCAGTCCACTACCCACATACACCTGTCGTGGAATTTACCATTGGCATTCAGAGTATGTGGTGAGCTAATGAAATGTGCATTGTTACTACAGACTCATTTTTTCGTACGGCCCTTTGTCAATCCACTGTCGGTAATGTTTGACTGCTTTACCATGCTGGCCACAGTGCGGGTTGGTTGAGATCTGCCCTTGGTGTTAGCCGTGGTCGGGAATCTAACTCGGGTAACTGGGTTCATAGGGCAATGCGAGAATCACCTACCCACCACTCTCCACCCCAAACCGCGTTGCGTTTTTGGCCAAATATTTATTCACCAGGCTAACGAATACACATGCACCTTGAAGTTTATCTCAAGAAGTCACCATACAGAGTGAAATGTTTGAGTGCGGTAATGTACACACGGGGTGGGGTTTATTTTCACGATGACATAAGGCACTTTGAGAGAGAGACGTGAACGTAATATAAATAGGTTGAAAGGGCTTATTTAGATTGCCATTCGAGCATTCTGCACTTTGGCAACTGTAATGAACTCTGATTTTCTTGTGGTTTGAAGAGAACAAAATGTGCCCATGTTCATTCGGCAATAAGCAAATATCGGCTCTGAAGACCTGCAGAATAATACTTTTGTTGCTGGTCTGTTTGAAAATACAGTAAATGTAATATTCATTTTTGCGTGTGATGCTGTTTATTTTGTCTAATAAAAAATACATCCATGCTGTGCATACGCTGTTCTGTTTATACCTGCATAATGAGGCATAGCTCACTTTGTAAATCCATGGGTACATTGCTAGCCCACAATCCCTCCAGTGTTGGTTAAGTGTCACCAGGGCGAGCCGTAACTGAACACAGCTGGTACTTAAATAGACATGCAGCGGATTTGCTGATGGTGCACGTCAGAGATGTGGAATGTCGATACCTGGCACAACTGGCAACGTGGATGAGCCTGCCCTAACACGCCAAAAAGTTTGGCGAAACATTCTTGAACTGCTAAGTGTTGAACTTGGACTTTATTACATCCTCAGCACTGCATGTGTAACTCCGTTCAGACATGGTCCAGAACTACACCGCACCTTGCATCATCTTCCCCTCGTCCCTTCTGGAATTTCCCCGACTCCCACCAACCCCCCCTTTGTTTCTCTCAACGGTCTTCCAACCAATCCCTCATCTGTAAAAAACAAAACGAGAGCTTTATATCTCATCGGATTCCTCCAATACAGTGTAAATGAATATGATTGTTTTATTACCCCCCATGCTCATTCAGATGTACCCTGGCGTACAATCAGATTTGAATGGTTTCACCTTCCAATTAGACCATGTTCCATAGCTTCTCGCCAATGACAGTCCAGAGCGCGCTCTTACGCAAACTCTCTAAGCCGTTAGGCCGGGCGAGTATAGGGACAGCAATTCGATTGTCATGATTACGTTTTAACAAATCGATTTTATTCGTTTAGCCAGGTGAGAGCTCACGGGACCAAGATATAAGAGTCGCTCTCGGTCTCCGCCTAAACGAAACTTCACCACAGAAGTTTAGACTGAGGGCATGGCTAAGATCACGGACGTCCTGGGGCTCTTCTCTGCGAATGACCCAGATGAGGAGGTGGCGATATGTGGGTTCGATCCCGACTGACGCCTGCTGTATATGTGGAGTTTGCGTGTCTCCCCGCGATCGCGTGGATTGTTCTCCGGGTCCTCCGGTTTTTCCCTCCGCATTAAAAAAAGATGCTTTTAGAGTATTTGGCTGCGAGAAATTTCCACGTGATAAGTCATTTCACTGGGCTGCAGTTTGTGGCCACGTCGTTTCTCAAAAAGAGCTATATAAGCTTCCCTGGTTAAATAAAAATAGTGTCGTGTTGGGAAGTGCAGCAGCTCCTCCAACCTCGTCTTCCCACCGTTGCCTTGTAGGAGTGCACTACATAATTCTGAAGTTATAAAAAGTTGTTTTACGAATGAAATAAGGTTTAATAATCTTATGTCATAATCATGTATGAATGATTATTATTAGTGTTATTACCAATACCCCAATAATCCCTACTATATTGCTCGTATGAAAGAAATAACGCTGTTAGGAACGTATCTCCATATATGTAATGGTATAATGACCCCATTTTAGCGCTGATTCTATTCGCGCTCACTTCTCCAGGAACGCATCTTGAGTGATAAACGAGGTCTGCCTGTATTTGTGTCATTTCATATTATTCACCTCTCGGCATCCCTTACATCTGCAGCTCATTAAATGGAATGGAAAACCAATCTTGAATGCATCGCATCAGCAATGGCGTAAAATGTTCCTGTTATCCACAATTTAATGAAAACGGGTACAGTATTTGACAAATTGAGATGGTTCTAACTGGTAAGGTACGTTTTTATCTTTGCTGTTGTGGACAAGATGAAGCAGCCCAGGCATAAAGCTTCCCACTGCACCTCACACAGTGACATGAACCAGACGTTTACTGACATTACTCACGGATAAGATGGTCATAACGAGCAGCTTCATCTTTTCCCTGGTGTTACCGGCTTGGTGACGTAGCGGGGGCCGTGGTGGCGAGATGTTAACTACTTCGCCGAGTCTACAGGAGGTCATGGTGTTCGATCCCGACTGACTCCTGCTGTATATTTGGAGTTTGCGTGTCTCCCTCTGATCGTGTGGATTGTTCTCCGGGTCCTCCGGTTTATTCCTCTACAATTAGAAACACGTATTTAGAGTGTGTTTGCTATAAATTTCCACGTAATCTACTTCGTTGAGCTATCGGTTGTGGCCTGGTCGCTTCCGAAAAAGAGCTTTGTAGCTCAGTGGCTTTTACGTGGTAAAATAAAAAAAAGTTTAGTTTTAGTATGTTTAACTTTGGGAGTCATCGTTTGCGTGGAGGTCTCGTATCCTTCAACTCTGCAAAACCTTCCACCTCCGTCTGTGCGACAGCTGCATCTCGCATTTCCTCGCCTCCTTTTGCTGCTGAGACACATGCATTAATCAGATCGTGATTCTACCACTGCATGTTTCATGTCAGCCCTCCCCAAAAGAAATGGTTGCCTCTGCTTTTTGATTGGTGGCATGCTAACGTGGTCATCCTATTATCCACAAAATTAATGCTAATTCAGTCAATGTTGTTTTTATCATGGCCAAGAGGATAAACTGCTGTTTGTGTTTAGTTTGTTGTCCTTCCCCGCATCTGTGATTAGCACGGTTGGCTGCGTACGGTGCGTAAGGAGCTCTACATGCAAACAAGATTGTCCATGCATTATCTCCACCAGTGGTTCTCAACCGGGTGTCGGCGGACCTCTGGGGGCACGTTAGGTGATTTATACTTGTGTAAAATTATATCATACATGATAGTCATTGGTGAATAATCATGTATGAATGTACCAATATTTAAATAGCTATAATAACATGTAAATCTATATGGTAACCTATAACGATATAAAGACATTTATAAACTCATTGATCCTAAACAATGTGATTTAGAAGAGTAGCCAGCGAGCGCAAACAAGTTACGTCACGCATGCAGAGTGTCCGTTGAATTTGTTTATTCGCTTGCAGTTACTAGCTCGTTAGGATACCTGACAAAATGGGTAATCGATGCAAATATTTATGTTAATCATTCGTTTATTTATTTCTCAGAACCATGTTGGGTCAGGCAAGGGGGTAACTCGGTTGAAACAAATTTCAACAAGGAGTGTACAGTCGCCAAAACAGAGTTTGAAAACCACTCGGCTACACCATTTCTCCATATATCGTTAACGGTGCTGTTTTCTTTCGAGCGTGATTGGCAGGGGCTGACTAATGGGCCATTCTCACCAATGACTCGTCAAATATGTGGGAATTGCTAAAGAACGGTGTATGCTGGTAAGTGGATGTCAGAAATCCTCCCTTTCCCAAGAGAAGGTTTTATCATGTGTGCCAGTTTCACAGCCCTTAACGGCAGATTTTATTTTGAACTTGGACACAGAAAAAATGCATAAACTTCCATGAATACTGGGATCTTGTATTTTGCAGCATCAAATTACTCTATTTTAAAGACTTTCCACTGTAACAATTAAATTGAACTTGCAAAAAAAGATCACAAGTTTTTCTTTATAAAAAGGCATTTAAAAATAATATAACATAGCATGGCATTAAAATCGAGAACAAAATTAACGTTATGTGCAGGCAAAGCAAAGCAAATTGAAAAACAATGACTTCTGGAAATTGGCATTGGGTTCAAAGAGTATATTCATTTAACAATTAAGCATGTTTCGTTTATTAACTTCGTAACATTTTAGATGTATTGTACTTCAGATAGTTAATGTGAACAATTAGCATTGTTACAATTTTGCATTTAAGAAGCAAGCACTTTCTGCAGGGCGTTTAACGTTAGATTCCGTATGTTAATGTTTTGGTGAGCACTTCTCAGCTCACTCAATGGCCACCAGCCTCCCAGCAGTCACGGCAGGGAGGGCGCGGCGCTGAGCCTTGATCTTCAGCTTCCCGTCGTCGGTCAGGCAGCAGCTCACGCTCTGTGGATCCACGTCCTTGGGCAGCTGCATCGCTTCGTGGAACTCCTGGTAGCTGTGGCTGTAGGCGCCGCTGCCTTCGCGCTTGACCTCACGACGTCCGGCCACCACCAGCTTGTCTCCAGACACCTTCACGGCCAGGTCCTTTGGAGAGAAGCCCTGCACGTCCAGGGACGCGACAAACCCGTCTCCCTGCTGTCGCTGAGCTTCGATCTGGAACGCGGCACTCACGGCCGGCTGCTGCAGCAGTGCGATTCCGGGGGTGCCCGGAGCCCAGGTGTGGCTGCTGAGCTGATCGACTCCACGGAAGATTTGCTCCATCCTCCCGATCTCGCTCCTCATGTCTCGCTCCAGCTGCTGGAAGAGACTTTTGTCGTGGAGGTTCCAGACCGGCCAGCCTGGCCAGACGCTCCTCTCCATCGCGTGCATCGGAGGGAAGTACACGTTCATGTCCATGATCGTTTACTTTGAAGCAAGTCTTCGAGCTGTAGAGTACTGCTCTGTCTTCTTGTCCGAGAGTGGTCTGCTCGCACAACTAGGGCAGCAATTATATAGCACAGGTAATGCGAATAAGCGTAAGCCGGCATTTGCGGGAACATTCTCTCATTAAGGCTTTAGATGAGTCATGTACAGACACGCCTGAGCGAGAATGAAGTCATTGTTTTTGGTGAATCAGATAGAAGCTTCTCTGGCTTTAGCGTCTCAAAGCATAGAATGCAGGCTGCATGTTCCATTAACGTAGTAACATCTAACTTTGCAGTTTTCTACTTGATGTGTTTTGTTCGTCAAAAAATGAGACAAGGGCTATTTGATAGTTTATATCGAGTGAGCTCCACAGGAGTGAAGACACTTATGGATGCTTCCAGATTACCCAAAATACTTCACCAACCATTAATTTGTAATTTGTATCCGGTTGCAACAATGGCAATGCAGTGCATATACTCTCATCTGTTATCTTAGCCATGGGAGCAGATCTGCGATTATTGCTATTATTGGTTTTGCTTTTTAGTAATCGTGTTCCCCAACCTCTTGTTCATTCCCGAAGCACATTCGCTTCACATTGTCACAATCCAAGTTCGTGCCACTATCCAGCCCATTACGGGACCGCGAAATTAAAATATGTGGCATTATCCCGGACAAACTCCACGAGCCTCACTTAATATGCATATGGCCATGAAAAACGATTTTGAAGAATGCTCAGAGTTTCAAAAAAGTTACACTCTTGAACATTATCTGCATTGTTCGAACTCTGAAAATAACCTATTATCTTCAAAATTGCTTGAATGTATTCTTTCTCATGGCATAATTTTCAGGAGCCAAATTGTCAAGGTCTGCTTGCCATGAGAGGGCTTCAGTATAGAGTTTGTGTAGTTTTGCTCTTCCTGCGTTGAAGGAGCACAGACAATTGTTTTTACTACATGGTCCATAGTTTGGGTTGCATGGCCATAATCGTACTGTGGCTTGTCTTTAATTTACCATTTGCATGTATGTGAGTTGAACTTCTTTCGCACCGAATGTAGCCAACCGTGCTAATCGGAGGTGTATGGGAAGAACTGGTATCATGACCTTTTTTTATGAAGGAGATAATGCGAATCGGCCTGTTGACGTTTTGATGAGGTTGATGGTTACACCAATGTCTCCAAGAAGGAATCTCAAAGCCAGGAGGTGTGATGTTTGGGTTTCAAATGTGTTTATTTTGGACATACGTGTTGTGCCACTGTTCATCAGCATTATTCCAGATCTGGGTGACATTCTGCGATGCTGACAGCACGAGGTACATTGTCGATGCCTTCGTTGATGGGTAGGCAGCTGGTTGTTGTTGTTCCTGGAAAGAAAACGCGTCAACTCCTTTGCAGTTTGCGCGATGTCTCTGCGGATATTTGGTGGCAGATTATTCGCCAGCACAGGGGGTCGGGAGTTTCGGTATTCTGGTAACGATGTACATTGTGTTAATGATTTGTGCATCTGGCAGATTGCTATTAAAAAGTATACTCACTCTCCCCAGACTGCCCTAAGTGCCCCCGGGCACCATCCAAACTTACATTCACGCCTTCTGGGACTGTCCCACCGTCAGGACATTCGATGATAAAATAACCGATCTGTAGAACGTGATGGATGGCACCGAGAAACTACGTAGCATTGAATCCTTCCTCCTGGGCCTTAAACCCCAAGGTATCACCAGGCACCAACAGACCCTTTTCCAAGCATGTAACATTTCGGTTAGAAAAACCATCATGAGCTCCAGGAATAATAATGGGGCCCCCTCTTTCGCCCTCCGGCACAACTCCCCTATTCGCCATAGTAGCTTTAGAACACTTGTCTTAAACTGAGGAATAGGGAAGGGGAGTTGTCCCATATCTGGGGCCCCCTCATGAATGCCACTCCAGAGACCCTGAGTTTACTTGACTAAACTGGAAATTAGACTGACTCCCCTCCCTCCCACACACGATAATTCACACCCGCTTAATCAGCCCCATGCATAACCAGCCCCATGCATAACCAGCCCCATGCATAACCAGCCCCATGCATAACCAGCCCCATGCATAACCAGCCCCATGCATAACCAGCCCCATGCATAACCAGCCCCATGCTTAACCAGCTCCATACACAACCAGCTGCTTCCTGACGTATGTACGAAAAAAAACTCACTAACTTGTAAGATTCTTTCATGATTGAAATTATAATTTTGGATGGTCGGTGACATTGTATGCTTGTGCGAGGCAGGACACTAAGTGCATGGCTATGAATAACAGACGTGTCATAACATTCCGCCACCGCAAAGATTGTTCCATTGCAGCAGTTACAGCAAATGATCAGATTCCACTTCAAGAAATCTAATCAGGCACCAATGCTGCTGCGTACCCTGTTTGCAGTAGGTACAACGGAGAAGTGTCATCTCCATGGGTCTCATCACACTGGTTTGGCCTCAAACAGTTACCATTTAAAGATATTGGTCCAAGATTATCAGTAACATTGGGTAAGCATTATTTTTGTCCGTAGATATTTTTTCTAGATGTTTACTTTGAGAGCAGCTGTAAGCAGTGGAGAAGTTCCATAGCCGACTCAGCCAAGCGGATTAAAGAAAAACGTGAAAGAGCCCATCGGCATCAACACCAGTAACGGCACAACACAAGTCCCATTCAGCAGACGAGCAACTCTTGCCGACAGTGCGATCGATGCTTCCGCTCAAGTTGCTGGGCTCTTCCCACCAGCGTGCAGGAAAATGCTACGAGCAGCTCTTCTCGGCAGTCATCATCGTTTGCGATGGCCAACCCGAAGATTTTTTTTCAGCAATCAAATCCCGCTTGTCTAACTTTTCACCCTTAACTGCTGAAACATATCTATCAAACAGAGCATTGCACGCTAGTTGCCACTCGGTCGTGGTGATATCGCAACGGCACTTATGTCAGTCTGAGTGCACTCTGCAAACCGTGCATATAGACAACACAACAAAGATATTTATGGAGCGGAGGGAGCTCACTGGACAGGAACATGGGATGGATTGCCTCCATACCAGATGTTGTGGTTAATGGGAGGATGAATGGCAATTATGACTTCACACAATTACAATGCACCCATCAACTATTTACAATGTTCAGATTTTATTTCACTATAAATATAAAAGTGGCGTATCCAAAACATTTACATGTGCATTTCAATAATATTTCAGATGCACGTGGAAATCCAAAGGAAACAGGGACATAGTTCACCTTTACAAAGCAGCCTCCACTGTCACATCATGAGCTGCCTTAAATTATTTGAGGAAAATCGCATGTGAAGAGGAAATATTTCTGTATGTCTTCCATGGCCTGGGTTTGATATAATTTTCAAAATGCCTCCTCCAAACAATGATTTGAAGTTGGTGATATTCATTTTCCATTTTATGAGATGCTGTTGTCCCATTTATTAAAAAAAAAACATTCATTCCCTTTATCATAAATGATTCTGGTTGGGTCCTTCAAAACTGACAACTCTTTTTGCATACAATTTTATTTTCAGAGGTACAAAAAAGGTACGTTTTGCATTGTTGTCACTTTATATATATAATATTCTGATAAATTATAACACGTTTTCAACAACATGCTGCATTTACACGCACGACGAGAAAACAATGTACCATCAACAAATAAAGGTGTTAAAAACTGACAAACACTTAACATTTCCGACCACGAATTCTCTCCAAATAGGCAACAGATCCTCGAAGGCCACAGCAGCAACGCAGTTTCAATCGGTACTTTTGTCAATGCATCCCAAGGCCACTCCCGTTCGTCCAAACAGCAGCAGGGACCGCCCCCACTCGGTGCTGCCCAGGCTGGACAGCAAGCGCATGTCTCCCTCCTCTCCCAGCAAGGCGGCCAGCTCATCGGCCTCCGCGCGGCCGCCACCGCCGCCAGCCCCACGCAGGAGCCGCAGATCCGGCAGGAGGGGGAACTCGGCCAGCCCCAGACGGCGCAGGCGGCGCGCGGCCGCTCGGTAGCACCTCCACGGCTGCGGCTCGACCAACAGGAAGGTGGCGGTGCGCGCGGCGGCCGCGAGGAAACGCCGCAGGCCGGCATCGCCGTGGTGCAGGTGAATCCACATCGTCACCGACATGCACAGGCACAGGTCAAAGCGCGCCCGGCCGTGGCGTCGCAGGAAGGCGTCCAGCGCGGCGTCTCGTGCTGCGGTGTCCATGAAGTCAAACGCCTCGTAGGCGATGACCTCCGGGTGAGGATTGTCGCCCCGCGCACGCTCCACCAGATCGGCGTCCAGGTCGCACGCCAGCACAGACAGCGGCAGCACGCGGGCAACCTGCCCAGAGCGTGCACCCTCGGGCTGGTCCAGCCCCGTCAGGTGCCGATACACAGCCACCGTCAGCTCCTGCGAGAAAACACGAGGACACCGGTGGCGGGTTTGTTTCTTTGCTGGAGAATGTCGTAAAAAAACAGACGTGATGCGAGGATGGAGTACTTCATTATTCAAAATGAAAATAAGTTAATACCTCAGTGGGCTTTGCCCGGTAGGATGGGGATGGTTTAGTTTTATTTGTATGTGTTTGGGTGATGTGTTTACCTCTCTTGCACTTTGGACTACTATCATGTTTTGTATTTTTTGTTGTTGTAACGTTCTTACCCTCCTTCTACTGGACGTCTGCGAAAAAGAGCTTTATCGCTCATCGCATTCCTCCAGTATGAATATTTTGATTCTGGCCACAGTATTAGATGCAACTTTATTCAATACAAACCTATGACGCAGTGATTCTAGGTCAAAAAATCCAACGAGACTAAGTTCGATGTTCAGCTACTGACATGAATGCAACTTTAAATATCTAATAAACGCCTCAAACCGGTGATATGTCTGAACCAGTCCTTGACACGCACCTTCAGCAACCTTGATTGCCAAAACCACCCGTGACCAACATGGCATGGCATAGGCCTTCATCCAGCAGTTAATTGACAAAAAGTCTGGAGCTAATGATGAATTTCCATGACTCACGTGTTTGATGAACAACGCGCATATGGGGTAGTGTATTCCATCTGTGGGAGAAAGGTGAAAATGCATTTTTGTAAACATGTCTCAGGCCCATGGCCACCCGCACTACCCCACTGTGACTAGTACACCCCTACACTACCACACAGTGACTAGTACACTACCACACTACCACACAGTGACTAGTACACTACCACACAGTGACTAGTACACTACCACACAGTGACTAGTACACTACCACACTACCACACAATGACTAGTACACCCCCACACTACCACACAGTGACTAGTACACTACCACACTACCACACAGTGACTAGTACACCTCAACACTACCACACAGTGACTAGTACACCTCAACACTACCACACAGTGACTAGTACACTACCACACTACCACACAGTGACTAGTACACCCCCACACTACCACACAGTGACTAGTACACCTCAACACTACCACACAGTGACTAGTACACTACCACACTACCACAGTGACTAGTACACTACCACACAGTGACTAGTACACTACCACACTACCACACAGTGACTAGTACACTACCACACTACCCTACAGTGAATAGTACACTACCACACTACCACACAGTGACTAGTACACCCCCACACTACCACACAGTGACTAGTACACTACCACACTACCCTACAGTGACTTGTACACCCCCACACTACCACACTGTGACTAGTACACCCCCACACTACCACACAGTGACTAGTACACCCCCACACTACCACACAGTGACTAGTACACCCCCACACTACCACACAGTGACTAGTACACCCCCACACTACCACACAGTGACTAGTACACTACCACACAGTGACTAGTACACCCCCACACTACCACACAGTGACTAGTACACCACCACACAGTGACTAGTACACCAACACACTACCACACAGTGACTAGTACACCCCCACACTACCACACAGTGACTAGTACACCCCCACACTACCACAGTGACTAGTACACTACCACACAGTGACTAGTACACTACCACACTACCACACAGTGACTAGTACACCAACACACTACCACACAGTGACTAGTACACTACCACACTACCACAGGGACTAGTACACTACCACACTACCACAGTGACTATTACACTACCACACTACCACAGTGACTAGTACACTACCACACAGTGACTAGTACACCCCCACACTACCACACAGTGACTAGTACACCCCCACACTACCTCACAGTGACTAGTACACCCCCACACTACCACACAGTGACTAGTACACTACCACACTACCACACAGTGACTAGTACACCCCCACACAGTGACTAGTACACTACCACACTACCACACAGTGACTAGTACACTACCACACTACCACACAGTGACTAGTACACTACCACACTACCACACAGTGACTAGTACACTACCACACAGTGACTAGTACACCCCCACACTACCACACAGTGACTAGTACACTACTACACTACCACACAGTGACTAGTACACCCCGACACTACCACACAGTGACTAGTACACGCACACACTACCACACAGTGACTAGTACACCCCCACACTACCGCACAGTGACTAGTACACCCCCACACTACCACACAGTGACTAGTACACAACCACACTACTACACAGTGACTAGTACACTACCACACTACCACACAGTGACTAGTACACCCCCACACTACTACACAGTGACTAGTACACTACCACACTATCACACAGTGACTAGTACACTAACACACTACTACACAGTGACTAGTACACTACCACACTACCTCACAGTGACTAGTACACTAACACACTACCATAGTGACTAGTACACCCTCCACACAGTGACTAGTACACTACCACACAGTGACTAGTACACTACCACACTACCACAGTGACTAGTAAACTACCACACAGTGACTAGTACACTACCACACTACCACACAGTGACTAGTACACTACCACACTACCACAGTGACTAGTACACTACCATAGTGACTAGTACACCCCCACACAGTGACTAGTACACTACCACACAGTGACTAGTACACTACCGCAGTGACTAGTACACTACCACACAGTGACTAGTACACTACCATAGTGACTAGTACACTACCCACTACACAGTGACTAGTACACTACCACACAGTGACTAGTACACTACCACACAGTGACTAGTACACTACCACACTACCACACAGTGACTAGTACACTACCACACAGTGACTAGTACATTACCACACTACCACAGTGACTAGTACACTACCACACTACCATAGTGACTAGTACACCCCCACACAGTGACTAGTACACTACCACACTACTACACAGTGACTAGTACACTACCACACAGTGACTAGTACACTACCACACTACTACACAGTGACTAGTACACTACCACACAGTGACTAGTACACTACCACACTACCACACAGTGACTAGTACACCCCCCCACTACCACACAGTGACTAGTACACTACCACACAGTGACTAGTACACTACCACACTACAACACAGTGACTAGTACACTACCACACTACTACACAGTGACTAGTACACTACCACACTACCACACAGTGACTAGTACACTACCACACCGTGACTAGTACACTACCAGACAGTGACTAGTACACTACCACACAGTGACTAGTACACTACCACACTACCACAAAGTGACTAGTACACTACCACACTACTACACAGTGACTAGTACACTACCACACAGTGACTAGTACACTACCACACAGTGACTAGTACACTACCACACTACCACACAGTGACTAGTACACTACCACACTACCACACAGTGACTAGTACACTACCACACTACCACACAGTGACTAGTACACTACCACACTACCACACAATGACTAGTACACCCCCACACTACCACACAGTGACTAGTACACTACCACACTACCACACAGTGACTAGTACACCTCAACACTACCACACAGTGACTAGTACACCTCAACACTACCACACAGTGACTAGTACACTACCACACTACCACACAGTGACTAGTACACCCCCACACTACCACACAGTGACTAGTACACCTCAACACTACCACACAGTGATTAGTACACTACCACACTACCACAGTGACTAGTACACTACCACACAGTGACTAGTACACCCCCACACTACCACACAGTGACTAGTACACTACCACACTACCCTACAGTGACTAGTACACTACCACACTACCACACTGTGACTAGTACACTACCACACTACCACACAGTGACTAGTACACTACCACACTACCACACAGTGACTAGTACACCCCCACACTACCACACAGTGACTAGTACACTACCACACTACCACACAGTGACTAGTACACCTCAACACTACCACACAGTGACTAGTACACCTCAACACTACCACACAGTGACTAGTACACTACCACACAGTGACTAGTACACCCACACACTACCACACAGTGACTAGTACACCTCAACACTACCACACAGTGACTAGTACACTACCACACTACCACAGTGACTAGTACACTACCACACAGTGACTAGTACACCCCCACACTACCACACAGTGACTAGTACACTACCACACTACCCTACAGTGACTAGTACACTACCACACTACCACACAGTGACTAGTACACCCCCACACTACCACACAGTGACTAGTACACTACCACACTACCCTACAGTGACTAGTACACCCCCACACTACCACACTGTGACTAGTACACCCCCACACTACCACACAGTGACTAGTACACCCCCACACTACCACACAGTGACTAGTACACCCCCACACTACCACACAGTGACTAGTACACCCCCACACTACCACACAGTGACTAGTACACTACCACACAGTGACTAGTACACCCCCACACTACCACAGTGACTAGTGCACCACCACACAGTGACTAGTACACCAACACACTACCACACAGTGACTAGTACACCCCCACACTACCACACAGCGACTAGTACACCCCCACACTACCACAGTGACTAGTACACTACCACACAGTGACTAGTACACTACCACACAGTGACTAGTACACCAACACACTACCACACAGTGACTAGTACACTACCACACTACCACAGTGACTAGTACACTACCACACAGTGACTAGTACACCCCCACACTACCACACAGTGACTAGTACACCCCCACACTACCTCACAGTGACTAGTACACCCCCACACTACCACACAGTGACTAGTACACCCCCACACTACCACACAGTGACTAGTACACTACCACACCACCACACAGTGACTAGTACACCCCCACACAGTGACTAGTACACTACCACACCACCACACAGTGACTAGTACACCCCCACACTACCACACAGTGATTAGTACACTACCACACTACCACACAGTGACTAGTACACTACCACACTACCACACAGTGACTAGTACACTACCACACAGTGACTAGTACACTACCACACAGTGACTAGTACACTACCACACTACCACAGTGACTAGTACACTACCACACTACCATAGTGACTAGTACACCCCCACACAGTGACTAGTACACTACCACACAGTGACTAGTACACTACCACACAGTGACTAGTACACTACCACACTACCACACAGTGACTAGTACACTACCACACAGTGACTAGTACACTACCACACTACCACAGCGACTAGTACACTACCACACTACCATAGTGACTAGTACACCCCCACACAGTGACTAGTACACTACCACACAGTGACTAGTACACTACCACACTACTACACAGTGACTAGTACACTACCACACAGTGACTAGTACACTACCACACTACCACACAGTGACTAGTACACCCCCACACTACTACACAATGACTAGTACACTACCACACTATCACACAGTGACTAGTACACTAACACACTACTACACAGTGACTAGTACACTACCACACTACCTCACAGTGACTAGTACACTAACACACTACCATAGTGACTAGTACACCCCCACACAGTGACTAGTACACTACCACACAGTGACTAGTACACTACCACACTACCACAGTGACTAGTACACTACCACACAGTGACTAGTACACTACCACACTACCACACAGTGACTAGTACACTACCACACTACCACACAGTGACTAGTACACTACCACACAGTGACTAGTACACTACCACACAGTGACTAGTACACTACCACACTACCACAGTGAGTAGTACACTACCATAGTGACTAGTACACCCCCACACAGTGACTAGTACACCCCCACACAGTGACTAGTACACTACCACACAGTGACTAGTACACTACCACACTACCACACAGTGACTAGTACACTACCACACAGTGACTAGTACATTACCACACTACCACAGTGACTAGTACACTACCACACTACCATAGTGACTAGTACACCCCCACAGAGTGACTAGTACACTACCACAGTGACTAGTACACTACCACACTACTACACAGTGACTAGTACACTACCACACAGTGACTAGTACACTACCACACTACTACACAGTGACTAGTACACTACCACACAGTGACTAGTACACTACCACACTACCACACAGTGACTAGTACACCCCCCCCACTACCACACAGTGACTAGTACACTACCACACAGTGACTAGTACACTACCACACTACCACACAGTGACTAGTACACTACCACACTACCACACAGTGACTAGTACACTACCACACCATGACTAGTACACTACCAGACAGTGACTAGTACACTACCACACAGTGACTAGTACACTACCACACTACCACACAGTGACTAGTACACTACCACACTACTACACAGTGACTAGTACACTACCACACAGTGACTAGTACACTACCACACAGTGACTAGTACACTACCACACTACCACACAGTGACTAGTACACTACCACACTACCACACAGTGACTAGTACACTACCACACTACCACACAGTGACTAGTACACTACCACACTACCACACAATGACTAGTACACCCCCACACTACCACACAGTGACTAGTACACTACCACACTACCACACAGTGACTAGTACACCTCAACACTACCACACAGTGACTAGTACACCTCAACACTACCACACAGTGACTAGTACACTACCACACTACCACACAGTGACTAGTACACCCCCACACTACCACACAGTGACTAGTACACCTCAACACTACCACACAGTGATTAGTACACTACCACACTACCACAGTGACTAGTACACTACCACACAGTGACTAGTACACCCCCACACTACCACACAGTGACTAGTACACTACCACACTACCCTACAGTGACTAGTACACTACCACACTACCACACAGTGACTAGTACACCCCCACACTACCACACAGTGACTAGTACACTACCACACTACCCTACAGTGACTAGTACACCCCCACACTACCACACTGTGACTAGTACACCCCCACACTACCACACAGTGACTAGTACACCCCCACACTACCACACAGTGACTAGTACACCCCCACACTACCACACAGTGACTAGTACACCCCCACACTACCACACAGTGACTAGTACACTACCACACAGTGACTAGTACACCCCCACACTACCACACAATGACTAGTGCACCACCACACAGTGACTAGTACACCAACACACTACCACACAGTGACTAGTACACCCCCACACTACCACACAGCGACTAGTACACCCCCACACTACCACAGTGACTAGTACACTACCACACAGTGACTAGTACACTACCACACAGTGACTAGTACACCAACACACTACCACACAGTGACTAGTACACTACCACACTACCACAGTGACTAGTACACTACCACACAGTGACTAGTACACCCCCACACTACCACACAGTGACTAGTACACCCCCACACTACCACACAGTGACTAGTACACCCCCACACTACCTCACAGTGACTAGTACACCCCCACACTACCACACAGTGACTAGTACACCCCCACACTACCACACAGTGACTAGTACACTACCACACCACCACACAGTGACTAGTACACCCCCACACAGTGACTAGTACACTACCACACCACCACACAGTGACTAGTACACCCCCACACTACCACACAGTGATTAGTACACTACCACACTACCACACAGTGACTAGTACACTACCACACTACCACACAGTGACTAGTACACTACCACACAGTGACTAGTACACTACCACACAGTGACTAGTACACTACCACACTACCACAGTGACTAGTACACTACCACACTACCATAGTGACTAGTACACCCCCACACAGTGACTAGTACACTACCACACAGTGACTAGTACACTACCACACAGTGACTAGTACACTACCACACTACCACACAGTGACTAGTACACTACCACACAGTGACTAGTACACTGCCACACTACCACAGCGACTAGTACACTACCACACTACCATAGTGACTAGTACACCCCCACACAGTGACTAGTACACTACCACACAGTGACTAGTACACTACCACACTACTACACAGTGACTAGTACACTACCACACAGTGACTAGTACACTACCACACTACTACACAGTGACTAGTACACCCCCACACTACCACACAGTGATTAGTACACTACCACACTACCACACAGTGACTAGTACACTACCACACTACCACACAGTGACTAGTACACTACCACACAGTGACTAGTACACTACCACACAGTGACTAGTACACTACCACACTACCACAGTGACTAGTACACTACCACACTACCATAGTGACTAGTACACCCCCACACAGTGACTAGTACACTACCACACAGTGACTAGTACACTACCACACAGTGACTAGTACACTACCACACTACCACACAGTGACTAGTACACTACCACACAGTGACTAGTACACTACCACACTACCACAGCGACTAGTACACTACCACACTACCATAGTGACTAGTACACCCCCACACAGTGACTAGTACACTACCACACAGTGACTAGTACACTACCACACTACTACACAGTGACTAGTACACTACCACACAGTGACTAGTACACTACCACACTACTACACAGTGACTAGTACACTACCACACAGTGACTAGTACACTACCACACTACCACACAGTGACTAGTACACCCCCACACTACCACACAGTGACTAGTACACCCCCACACTACCACACAGTGACTAGTACACTACCACACAGTGACTAGTACACTACCACACTACCACACAGTGACTAGTACACTACCACACTACTACACAGTGACTAGTACACTACCACACTACCACACAGTGACTAGTACACTACCACACCGTGACTAGTACACTACCAGACAGTGACTAGTACACTACCACACAGTGACTAGTACACTACCACACTAGCACACAGTGACTAGTACACTACCACACTACTACACAGTGACTAGTACACTACCACACAGTGACTAGTACACTACCACACAGTGACTAGTACACTACCACACTACCACACAGTGACTAGTACACTACCACACTACTACACAGTGACTAGTACACTACCACACCGTGACTAGTACACTACCAGACAGTGACTAGTACACTACCACACAGTGACTAGTACACTACCACACTAGCACACAGTGACTAGTACACTACCACACTACTACACAGTGACTAGTACACTACCACACAGTGACTAGTACACCACCACACAGTGACTAGTACACTACCACACTACCACACAGTGACTAGTACACTACCACACTACTACACAGTGACTAGTACACTACCACACCGTGACTAGTACACTACCACACAGTGACTAGTACACTACCACACTACCACACAGTGACTAGTACACTACCACACAGTGACTAGTACACCCCCACACTACCACACAGTGACTAGTACACTACCACACAGTGACTAGTACACTACCACACTACCACAGTGACTAGTACACTACCACACTACCACAGTGACTAGTACACTACCACAGTGACTAGTACACTACCACACTACCACAGTGACTAGTACACTACCACACTACCACAGTGACTAGTACACTACCATAGTGACTAGTACACTACCACACTACCACACAGTGACTAGTACACTACCACACTACTACACAGTGACTAGTACACTACCACACTACCACAGTGACTAGTACACTACCATAGTGACTAGTACACTATACCACACTGGGACTGGACGAGTCTCACAGCCACGGCTTTGTTCGAGTGAACGTCCCGAGAGTTTCAGAACCTTCCCCAGCGGTCGACGTCCTCAGCCCCGTCCGTGGTAACGTGGAGTTGCGCTCACCCCGCTGTTGCAGCCCATGTCCAGGGCGAGGAACGGCGGCGCGGACTCCGGCAGGAGCCGCCTCAGAAGCTCGCGGGGCAGCAGCGCGACGCGTCGAGCCGGGGGGTTGAAGGCCGCCTAGTTGATGAAGTTCCCGTGGGGAGCCGCGCCTGGCTCCCTCTTCCTCGGGGCCCCGGGCGCTGCCATCTCCTCCCCGCCGTCCTCCTTCTTAATCTCCTCCTCGTCCTCCTCTTTCCTCGCCTCCATCCCTGTGGAGGCCGTAAGCGAGGAGGCTATCAGGCGGGATCGGCACAAGCAAAAGGAGGGGAGCGGGACGCGCGAGTGTGTGGAGGCACAGTCAGCCATGTTACGTGGGGAATTGAACACCGTAGAGGCACAGTCAGCCATGTTACGTGGGGAAGTAAACACTGTGGAGGCAGAGTCAGCCATGTTACGTGGGGAAGTGAACACTGTGGAGGCAGTCAGCCATGTTACGTGGGGAAGTAAAACACTGTGGAGACAGAGTCAGCCATGTTACGTGGAGAAGTGAACACCGTGGAGGCACAGTCAGCCATGTTACGTGGGGAAGTGAACACCGTGGAGACAGAGTCAGCCATGTTACGTGGGGAAGTGAACACTGGAGGCAGTCAGCCATGTCACGTGGGGAAGTAAACACCGTGGAGGCACAGTCAGCCATGTTACGTGGGGAAGTGAACACCGTGGAGGCAGTCAGCCATGTTACGTGGGGAAGTGAACACTGTGGAGACAGAGTCAGCCATGTTACGTGGGGAAGTGAACACTGTGGAGGCAGTCAGCCATGTTACGTGGGGAAGTAAACACCGTGGAGGTAGTCAGCCATGTTACGTGGGGAAGTAAACACCGTGGAGGCAGTCAGCCATGTTACGTGGGGAAATGAACACTGTGGAGGCAGTCAGCCATGTTACGTGGGGAAGTGAACACTGTGGAGGTAGTCAGCCATGTTACGTGGGGAAGTGAACACTGTGGAGGTAGTCAGCCATGTTACGTGGGGAAGTGAACACCGTGGAGGCAGTCAGCCATGTTACGTGGGGAAGTGAACACCGTGGAGGCAGTCAGCCATGTTACGTGGGGAAGTGAACACCGTGGAGGCAGTCAGCCATGTTACGTGGGGAAGTGAACACTGTGGAGGTAGTCAGCCATGTTACGTGGGGAAGTGAACACTGTGGAGGCAGTCAGCCATGTTACGTGGGGAAGTAAACACCGTGGAGACAGAGTCAGCCATGTTATGTGGGGAAGTCAACGACGTGGAGGAACATTCCGCCATGTTACGTCGGGAAGTGAACAGCGTGGACACAGCCGGCGACGTTCCAAATACATAAAAACACTGGGGCACAGCGCTCACAGTCCAACAAAGACAAAGATCCCCCGTGTAGCCTGTGACAGACTGTTGGGGCAAGTGCTGTTAGCGAGTGGCAGCACCGATTAAGATCGGCACTGTGGCACACGACGGGGTGGTTGGCCAACACCACGCCCGGCCGCCTTTGTCTCCCCCAGTGGCGATGTTTACTACACACCGCGCACCAGGTACTCATTTGAGGCTGAGTCGACCTAGGGGGAAGGGGGACCCAGGATTCGAACTCGTGTAGTCGGGGTTCAGAGCGCAGTGCGCTAACCGCTGCGCCACCGCTCCCCCCACCACACACGCGCACAGCAACTCCAGAGAGCGACTTTTGGGTCAGAGGTAGCCGCATTGTACTGGCGCCGTCCATAAATGACATCACGCACCTAGGGGGGGCGGGGGGGGGTCAGATATTTGTGACGATGTGTGACGAGGGGGGGGGCTGAGAAATGTGACGTCACATCAAAATGCGCAACTTTAAATAAATACAGACAACACGTTCTACTTAATTAAATAGACTTTTTAATAAATGTTTTCTCCTACAACATCAGAGTGCAGCGCCACATTAAATACGCACTACAATGACAATAGTTTAAAGCGATTTGAAGCATGTTTTTTTTTGGGGGGGGGGGCAGAGCTTTGTGACGTCATATTTGAGGGGGGGGGGTCTGACTTTTTGTTACGCCGTGTGACGATGGGGGGGGGGGGTCAAAAATCGCGTGACGTCATTTATGGACGGCCCCTTTGGCACCGTGCGTCGCTGAATCATTGCTCATCGGAGTGCCAGCTGTATGACAACGCGACGTGGCACGCAGTGCCAACTTACACCTGTCAACCCCTAACCATTGCCTCTCTTATTACAGACCAATTCAGACCTTATTGGTCACCCCGTGCCCCTTACAAATCTCAACGTTCATCCTACAAAGTCCCATCACAAGGGGAAAAACACAAAACATTGTTTTGCCCGTTATAAAACGGCTGTAGTAAGCCGTATGGACCTGAAAAATCAATTTCCCTGTACACGAATACGGAAATTGAAAGGCATTTTATTACAAAAAACAAACATCATTAAAATTCACACAAACACTATAGTATTATAGTAGTTCGAAAATTAGACTGTGGAAAATAGTCATGTGTAATGATGAAAAATACTTGAAGATAACATTTATCATTATCTTATTGCAATATATGAACGTGTAATGGCAAATTAAAACGATGCGATACAATTTGACAATCCTTTACAGCGATACACTTAATCCAATGAAGTTGAATGTAAACGCTGAAACACGTAAATATTACTGAACATAGCGTGGATAGAAGAAACTGATTTAACTAAATATCCACACAATTAAAACATCAATGAAGCAGGTTGTTGGAATGGATGCTCCAGGCGCCACTCTACGCGTGAGTGGTGCCAGTGGACTGAGAGGCCGTGCCAGGAGTCGCTGTCGCTGGCTGCTCAATGACCACCACCCTCTCGGCCGCTGCAGGGAGGGCGCGGCGCTGAGCCTTGAACTTCAGCTTCCCGTCTTCAGTCAAGCAGCAGCTCACGCTCTGCGGGTCCACGTCCCTGGGCAGCTGCGTCTCCCTGTGGA